ACCAGATTAACCCAGATTGCTACATCAATGTATGTTGTACTGTATTACTGAAGCACCTTGCAGACACCTCTTGAGCTTAAAAAACCCACATTTACTCATCATGTACGTAACCTCAACAACTCAGCTTTCTGCCTATACCATAATCTGAACCCTGATCAGGCAGTCCCCAATGCGGCAAAGAACCTTCACATGAAACACATTCTTCTCATCATAAATATAATATATAAGTATTTTTTTATGTAAAATGTGCATACATTAGAGTGAGCAGCAACAATGACCAAATTTTACTAAAGCAAGTTACTGTAACTTCAATCAAATTGGAGAGTGGAAGGACTGAATAAAATCAGAAGTTCAGCTGAACTCTGGCATGAAATTGCCATGAACAGATGTTGCACATCACTCTCTCTCAAACATCTTGAAACATCTAAGTGTGAAGGTATTTTAACATGTAGAAATTCTGCAGTGTCCATTGCCATTCATTTCCATTTCTATCTGTGTAACAAACTACACGGATTTTACTTCAACAGCGCCTTTGACAGTGAAGTGATAATGATCACAGTATTGTTCTTCTGTGTGACTCTTCTTTTGTCAGCAGCTTGTATACTTGCCACATCTCTCCCACTTTCTCAGTTTACAGAGGAGGTTTTGTTGGTGCCAGCCTTAAAAATCACAGACATGATCACATTGCATCTGTCCCGGAAACTGCTGCTTGTGGTCTGTGCATCATTTTGCTAAAATACCCCAGCTGTGACCGGCACCTCTCTTTTGCATTAACTGTGTGGTGCTTTCAAAGCTTGTGTGACTTAACGGTGACGTTTTTTTTTTTTTTTTAAAAGCACTGACCCCGACGTGATTTGAACACGCAACCTTCTGATCTGGAGTCAGACGCGCTACCGTTGCGCCACGAGGTCCTGTGACTCAACATCTTTGAGAAGTACATATAGCCCCTGAACCCCCCCATCCCCCAGCTAATGCTGCAATCATAAAACACACACAGGCATATGTTCTCTCTTTCTCACACACACTTTTTTACACCCTCCTCCCTCCACTGGCTCCCTCTAGGGCACCAGTCTTTGTGTGGTCTTTGACAGGAACAGGGAACCTACTCTGGTACAAAGACACAGATAATGGGTTAAAGAGAGCTATTGTCTGGGCTTATGTCGCAAGTGTGTGTGTCTGTGTGTGTGATACGCAGAGAACAACTACTTCTCTGTTCCCTTCACCTTACACAGTGAATCAGATAAGCAGATACCTGATCAGGCTGGGGTAGCGGTATGTTACTCACTCAATGCACAAATTAATGAGTAAAGCTCACTGGGGCAGGAGCTAAATGACTTGCAGAAAATAGACATGGGCACACCATGCATATCTGCTCACATATGCTCTGCTGAATACAGAAGTCTTTTAACCTGCAGATCTGCTACACATGTAAACAGATCTTCCATTTACATACTTGATGTGATACTTAACCGTCTCATTTTGCACTACTGTTGCTCCATTTGCTACACTCTCATGGCATTAAAGTAAAACCAAGTATGCTGTAGATTTATTTGCAGTTGCATTCGGCACTGCTACGGAGAGACAATTCAAGCTACTCCCCAAACCTTTGCGCTCTATAGTGAAATGTAGCCCCATTTTAATGAGTTTATGACTCTAGTGACAGGTATCCTAATTATAGTCACACTTGGTTATAAAGTTCTCAAGTACTTGCAGTATGTTGCCATACCTGTCAAGTGTCATATTTTAGGTTTTAATGTTGAAGTGGTTTCATCGTGACATGGGAATCTCATCTCATTGAGTATCAGAGTATCAAAGAAAATAAAAAAGCGTGCAAAATTCAAGTTCCATGATGTTATAGCACTGTGGAGTGTTTCAGTTGCTGTTCTTTAGGAGTTGTATGGCTAACCTTTCGAACACTGCCTGACCAGAGCACGTTGTCAGAGGTTCAGCGCGGGATAAAATGTTGCACTTCACAGGATCAATGTAACATAGGTTAAACTGGTTTCTACACGTCAGTAATCCTTCTTCTGTTTGTAGTAAGATGGACGCTGTTCTCACATTTCACTCAGGCCTTCATCAAACCCCACACATACATGGCTCAGATTATCAAAGCTGTACTTAACAATTGTACTTGCCAGATATGTTTTGCTCCTGTGGTTTTTGTCCCTTTGTTAATGAAATAATGCAGCGTTGGTCCATTGCCTCTGTTTTAAAAAAACTAATTATGTACTGGGAAGGGAAAGCCTTTTATTTTCAGACTGTGATACTTGGTTGCACTTGAGAACAAAAGTATGGACATCTGGTTTTGTTCCTCTGATGCACATGATGTTTTCATGGCAAAAATGACCTCAATGACCTCAACAGACCCAAACAGTGTTGAGAACGCCCTTTGCCACAGTCAAAGTCAAGATTAATTTTCAGTCTGTTTCATCTGTTCTAAGTGCATGAAACCATGCATTGAAAAAATATATCTGTAGTTGTAGGGAAACAAAAAAACAGAGTTAAAAAACTCAGAAAGCTACATAACTGTGCAAGAGCCAATCTTGTGCAACATGTTGATTTAGTAGGAGAGATGAGCTGAGGTTGATTGAGGAGTGTGCTAACACTTTATCAACATTATGGCTGTCCTCCCTACCTGCTGTTACTATACGCTACCGTAATACAAATGAGTCTGTCACAATGCACACTTTGTTGGAAGCATCAGCTCCTTCTGGTTTCTGTACTACATTCAAAATTTAATAGGCTTGATGGTATGTAAGTTCATTTGCCAAAGCTACACTTTCATTGCTCCTAATCTAATGCCAAACTCAGATTTTCAATGTTAGCAAGCATTTACTATACAGTATACATGGCAGTCTTTATAAAGTTATTGTTTTAAATCAAAATATAATTCCACTATAAATTAATCAGATCACGTAGCATATTTCAAGATCATGCTATGGCTATCAAGCGAATCTTTGTGAAAAGCTGAGTTGCATGGTGAACAAATGAGATTCCCGCCCATCAATGGGAAAAATAAGTATGAATTCAACATTAAAAGACACGTCCTACATATTCTCAACAGTAGTACAAGTCTGCAGGAATGGAAAGAAAGAATGATACTAAGAAGTAGGCTAAACAGGGGATTTGACCTTTGACTTCTGGTTTTTGTGAGCTGAATGGCTAACATGACCAGCTGTATCTTCCTAGGAGGCCTTACTAATACTTACCACCAGGGGGGAAAAAAACCTTTAGCCGTGCGTGTGTGTGAGTTAAGACCTTGGCATTTACACCAAAGCTTTGAGAGATGACCCCTAAAACACAAAATCCAACCCAATCCCAGTTAGTGATGACTTCTCTGCTAATGCTCTTGTAATGAAGAATCCTTGAACTGAATCCTTAAGTACTGCTTTTGGCTTCGCTGACGTAAGGCTCCAACATCATTTTAACCAAATCAAATCTAACCAGCGCTTGTCAGTGTCAAATGCTTTCCTTCCAACGCAAGTGTATTTCTGGAGTTAAGTTATGTAATTGCAGCTTCTCTCACGAGTCATATTTGTTCCTAATAATCCATCCAAGGAACAAATCAGGATGAGGACCATGCCAAACAGATATGGAGCATGTCAACATTTGAACATGCCCCCCCCCCCACACACACACACACACACTATTCTGTAGTGGTAGGCCTATTGTAGTTTGGTTTTCCTATCAAAATACCCTATGTTCAATTTTAGTGTACATGCTTTAACTCTCTATCTTTCTGCAATGGCTGCATTGTTTTTTCAGTGGCCCAACTAACATGGGAACTACATAATTCTCTCTTTGCTTCCGATGTCTTGTCTTGTCTTTTGGGAATGTCCTTGATAAACTTGCCATCTTTCCCTCTTAATAACCTCAGAAGGGAGGAAAATACCACACAGTTATTACCCTCATGATTTGGACCATTTTGCTGGTGAACCGCGTTGGAGTTCAGTACAACAGAGCCGTGCATGAAGGCATTTAACCACAGACCCGAAAAGACAGCTCAGTGTAGGAGGAGAAAGCATGGAAGAAAAGAGACAGAAGGAGGAAAATGGAGTGAGAACAAAATACAGACAAAGAGTGAGGAGACTCTTTCCTAACATGGTGAAGGAGGAAAGATAGTCACCAAGCTGAGTGGTTTCTCTTTAGCCTCCTGCGTGACTGACTGGGCCATCATGCCTCAGTGCTTTAGGCTATGAGCTGGCCAAAGTCAGGCTGAGGGGGAACAGGGAGGAAGGAAGAAGACAAATGGAGAGAATGACTTTTATTTATTTTCAACTTTACAATTTTATTCGTGTAATGCTCCACAAACTATACTGCACTATAACAGTATACTATAGTATTAACTACATATTTTGTCAAAATTTAGTTTAGACATGAATCTGACTTTTTGACGCCTGCTTTATGATGAAAAATATATAACATAGAAATGCATAATTTGCATTTGCAAATAAATTTGCGGTACCTACAAAACTGACCTACAAACCAAAGCGCAGCAACTGCTGGTTTGGTAATCTCTGGACCCTAGAACCGACAGAGAAACAGCAACCTAGGCAGCTAAAGTGAGACGCTATAGCTAGCTGCTCAGATAGGTGGAGGAGTGGTTTCTGTGCAATGAAATGTAACCATACAAACTGATGAATATCAACCTTATGTTGTGCCTGTATTAAACCTATTCTCTTTCTACTGCCACATGGAGAAAGGTTTGAGCCAAATGCTTATTTTGCAGGCCATCCAGCAGGGGATTAAAATATTTCATAACTGCTGTCATGATGTCAATCCATAACCATGTCAGAGTGCTGACTGGGTCATTATGTGAACCACATGGTGATTAGATCAGCTGATTCCTAAGGAGACAGAAGCTGCTAATCCCTTTGGTTTGGCAATGCTAATATGTTGTATGGCTTTACGTGCATAATGCCTCAAATCCCAAGTCTATATGGTGCAAATAAAGCTGATCTCATTACAGAGCTAATACTCTCTCTCTTTTTTTCTTCAAGGACCCCAGCTACTGGGTTCAGGTCCACAGGTTGGAACATGCAGATGGAGGCATTTTGGACCTGGATGACATGTTATGTGATGTGGTGGATGACAAAGATAGGGTGAGTCAAAGTGTGTTGAGAGAAAAAGGGGAGCATGTGTTTGCATATTTTATTTATTTGTTTATTTCCCCAAACTGTCATTGCTGCCTGTTCTCATTTCCATTCACCTTTTCCTTGTGCAAAACAGCTTTTGTTGTGTCTGCACTCTGAAAGTCTGTGCATAAGACTTTGGCATTATTACAGAGTGTTTCACTAACATGTGCTTGTCATTACACCTGTCTGCTTTTACTGTCTCATCATTACTAAAACATTACAGAGCAGTAAACCACTGCACACCACCATGTTCTCTGTTTAATCTTTTCAACCTACTGGCAGTCCTCCATTGCTTTCATGTAATCGGAGGGTTGAATGATGCAGTGTAGTCTTCTGTGTTACATTCAAGGCTGGACTTTGATGTGTGTATTACAATGTTTGTCAGTGGCCAATAGGAGTGCGTGGGCAAAATCTATGTCAGAGGCAGCATGATGTCACACTACCCACCCCACCCACTAGACCAACTGTAAATAATTACCCACAATCCCACTGCATCCTTCCTGTGGGAATAGTGCTGACTACACCTGAGTCACTAGCTCTTTCGCTCTAATGTTGGGACAGTTACACCTCTTTGTGTCTTTGTGTTATAGTGAGTGGGAAGTGGTTTAAATGATTTTTCTACCAGTTTTCAGTTCAGTTAAATTGTTGAATGAAATGAGTGGTGGGTGATAGTAGACGTTACTCCACAGTGAATACATGGTTGCTAACGTGAAATAATTACAATAAAATATCAACAGAACAACAGCTAATGACAACATTAAACAGACAAACCTTTGTAGTACAACAATGATAGTCATTTACTACTACTCACCATAGTGTATCCTGGTGTAGTGATAACATGAATGATTTATCTGGTATTTTCATCACTTCAAAGATACCTAAGTTTAAAGCCTCTAAATGGTGATGAAACGTGAGTTTCATTTGAAGGTGGTATCTTTGATTCCTATCTGCCAGCATCTTTTCTCAGGATGTCTGATGTCATGGAACCACTGCTATCTTGTGTCCTTCGCAGGAACACTGCGTGTTTTGTGCTGCTGTTTCATGATGAAAAGTGCATTTCCCATGTTTGATATCTATGGTTTAAAGAAGTTCAGTGAACTGACAGGAGCTCTGAATAGCTGGTCTGTTTGGTTTTGGGCGTGCTTTTGTACATGAATGAGAAACTGAGTGCATGAGAGAGAGGAGAGTATGTGTGCATGTGCATCTACACAGCTTATGATGACTATGTGGTAGGTGCCATGGTTACACACCGGGCGGGATCAGGGGTGGGAGCAGCTGTTTTGCACCTGCTGTCTGAAACACTCCTTTCTCCCTTTTTCTTCTCCTCACCTCATCCATCTCCTGTGGTACAGACAATGTGCAAAGAAAAAACAAAGAAAGAAACAGTTATTTTTCTGGCAGTTACAGCAAACTAATTGAAGATTAGATGGCACAACAGTTCATATTTTCTACTTTTCTTTGCCATCTGTTTAGATGCTGTGAATACCTGCGACCCCTGGTGGCTGCTTGGGCTCTTTACATCTCACTGATCACACAATATTGAAATTATTGTGAAATTCTAAATGTTATGTTATAGCTCTGGAGTGTACTCTTTACCTGGATTGTTCTGTCAAACCCACAACACGAACAGTCAGCCTGAAACCAAGCCAAACAGTGATAGCAATGTGACAAGACTGGCATGCTGTAGTAAAACTATGCTGGTAGTTGTTGTAAATGACAGAGCTGGATGTGGGCCAGTGCAACTAACTTTACACCAGCCTTTGTCTGTCTGTGTGTATATGCACATTATTTGACCTCAGTTTGTGTGGGTGGTTGTTTCTTTGTGTTTATGTGTGTATAGTTGTTAGTAGTAAGTCCAGTTTGTCCAGTTCTTTCCATCAGCCACTGCCTCCGTCACTGTTTTACTCTACTGATAGGCAGGATAACAGTCAATCAGACCTGTTCATTTTAACCTGTTAATGACAATGCTGCTCTCATTAATGTATTATTGGTATTGCATAGGCTTTGTGGGCTGTGCTGGACCTAGATTGATGTTGGTCCACTGCTTTTGGACATGTCATAAATAAAGTGTACTGTCTTCTCACTTTGTGATTAAAAACCTAATTTTTTTTAATCTTTTTTGTTTTTTATGACATTGTTGCACTTTTGTGTTTCAGCCATTCTGAATCTCAGTGGTATTACAGTTTACTTAACATAAAAGAAAGAATACATTCAGCCATTATAAACTGAGATGATAGCAGTACACTCATTTGAAAACAGAGGCTCCATTAGTGCTGTGTCATTCACTTGTAGTCAACGTTTCAAAAGTATTAATCCACTAGTAATTAATTGTTGTTTGCATTGCTTCCAGGTCATTTGATGATGGAGCTGAAAGCTCGCATAGTAGAGTAACTTATAAGCCACACTTAATTAGTTTTATATCCCCTTCATGCGAGATATGAAGACCTTGTGTAGAATGCTTCAAGCAGTTGACAGCAAAGGTTTAATGGGCTTTGTCAGTGGAGTGGGTGCACTCCTGTTTTACCTTAAAAGGCATTGACCCCGACGTGATTTGAACACGCAACCTTCTGATCTGGAGTCAGACGCGCTACCATTGCGCCACGAGGTCCTGCTTATTATAGAACCATAATAACTCTTTGCAGCTTCACAGCTTTCCTCCTGTCTTCTCCCTTAAAAAGCCTAGTGGACAAATTTGTACACAACTATCTCAGGCACATTCATGTAAATGTCAGCGTGTGCAGCTGCAGCTAAGCAGCATACAGTTTTTTCAGCTCATAGACAAAAAACCTGCCAACAGACTGATGCTCCTTACTATATACTGTGTACTGAGTGTTGATATCCGCTGTTTGTGTTTTTGCTGTAACGATTTCTGACAGATTTAAGTGTAAATCAATGAGTTCACATGTACCATAGAGGAGAGTTAGTGTAGAAACTACTGTCACTTTGCGAGTTTTGGTGCCTCTACTGTTGGGAGCACCCAAGCCTTGTGTGTATATGTGTATGTGTGTGTGTGTGTGTGTGTGTGTGTGTGTGTGGGATGTGTTGCTCTGGTTCAGTAGTCAGATTATCATGTTGCGAATCATATGCAGTCATAGAGCTGCATGCTACAGCCTGTCTTTCTCTGCTCCACAGGTCTTCACGTTGATTATCTAGCTTCCAAAAAGCGATTTATGCTGTTTGTTAGTTTTGGTCTTGTGTTACACAAATGTCCCTCTTGCTGTTCCAGGTTTGGCTTTAGTGTGAGGTTGAGATCTATGTCTTTTTATTATATCTATTACTAGGGATGCTTGAAGTGTAGTGCGTGTTTGAATAATAGTCTATAGATTTTTCAAGTGTTCATGGTGCACTACTGCCACCAATTGGACTGAAGTGTGAAGTAGTGGTTTGGCAGAGGAGTAGCACATTTTCCCCTCATAGGCCAGGTGACTTTTATAATCCAGATCTGTAGGGGGCTGAACCTCTTCAGGTGCAGAACTAGCGGTGGAACTGAAAACAGTTCCTTTATTGTGCACAATTGGTGTATTGCAAATAGTAGCACACTGTATGAATAGCAACCACTATTTATTGTGTTTAATTTTAAAAAGTACCAGACTTTAAATTAATAAACAAATTAGTGTTAGGGTTAAGGATAACAATACAAACACTAGTTACTACTACTATTTACAACAGGAATATCGTCGGGGGGGGGGGGGGGGGTGATAATAATCATATCCCAGGTACAGTAAGGATACTATAGACAATCGGATAACTTCCAATAGCGACACAATGGTGCTTTGAATTAAGTTTAAATTAAGTTTTTTGCTAGTCTAGCCTTACAAAATAAGTGCTCTTTTTGACTAAAAAGGAAGGAGTGGTCCACATACCACCAAAACTTGTGCCCACTGTAAAAGGCCTGTGAAGGAAATCACTAAATTACTACAACACATACAGAAGAGAATTATAATGAAAACTAGAGTGTCTAGGAAAGAGGTGTAAACTTTCGTCTAGCTCAGCCTTAGGTTATAATTTTGAAAACTCATTCAGTGTGAAAAAATACTTGTGATAGCTATGAAATGGCTGGAAATGGCTGTGATACAGACACTTCATCCATATGCCAGATGGCAATGTGGCAATTAAAATGACTCCTGGTTAGAAGATAGCCGTAGGTAAGACATTCACAATATGGGTCTGTTGAAATGAGTTTATAAAAGAATGAAATGGGTGTGATATGGCCAATTAGATAAAATTAGATGAAACTTTAATGGTCATTGCAGGAAAATTGGGCTATTACAGTAGCAGTTAAAATGGTATATAAGACTTCAAAACTGTTGTTGTTGTGCAAGATAAACTCATTGTCTGATGCAGAAGCGAGCTTTATCTTTTAATTAAGTCTTTTGAATGTGTGGTATAAAATTGTGAGTTTCAGAATAAATTGTTAAAGGGGATATAATCTATTTATACTGGAGTCAGGTGTGCTATTTTTGTTCAAGGCAAATGCAGAACACTCTATATACTGAAGTTTCTCTGACTGTTTCTCTGACAAATTTAAGTAGTGACCCATGGAATCTATAAGTGATGGTGAGTGTGAAATAGTCGACCTGGGTTAGTCATTCCAGCTGAAGCTGGTCAAGGCCAGGGCTGGCGTTAAATTCAGTGTTAGGGTAACACATAAACCTAAAACACCAAATTACATCACACACAAAGACTGAGCTTGTTTGCTTGTTAGTTTTTCTAAACTGAGCTTGATAACAAATAAGGGAAGATGATTTCAGGAGCAAGTCTCTTGGTGTTTGTAGTCTGGATCTCTCTTTTTAACAGAGGTGAGTCTAAACAAGCCTGTCCCGTGGGCTTATTGAGTTCAGGGGCGAGGCGTGAATTCTCAGGGGTGATTAAGCGAGAAAAAAAAAGAAAAAAAAAGAAGCTTGTAACAGCAGAAGTACCTGAGTCAGTGGTTCAGTGTAGTGTGTTTTACAGAAGGTGCATGTAGA